AACCTGGATCAGGGGGTTCCTAACCCTGGATCAGAAGATTCCTAACCCTGGATCAGAGGATTCCTAACCCAACCTGGATCAGAGGATTCCTAACCTGGATCAGGGGATTCCTAACCCTGGATCAGGGGATTCCTAACCCTGGATCAGAGGATTCCTAACCCAACCTGGATCAGAGGACTCCTAACCTGGATCGGAGCTCAACCAGCAGAGCTTCTCCATGGGGTCCAAACAGGGTCATGGAGCTCCTGGCAGGACCAAGGCTGGGGAAAGCAGCTTTTCCCTGGACACAATTCCTGTGCTGGGAGAGCTCCGTGTGGAGCTGAGCCTTCACACCCAGGGCTGTTGAACTGGGTGGGTGGAAGATTAAGCTGGGACTGAACCCAGGCTCTGCTTTGCTGCTCCTTCCTCGGTGCTCCCGGGGTGGAGCTCCCGTGGGATGGACTCTGCCTGCAGGGACAACTTATTCCAACTTGTGTTCAGCTTTTTCAGCCCACCTCTGGAAGAATTCCCAACTCACCCAAGGACAGCTCCACCCTGCTGGCACAGCCTCTGCTGATCCTGCTGCTCCAGGCAGTCCCAAAGGACAGGTCCCAGCTCACTTTTCCCGGGAGCCGCTTCCCGGAGTGGAGCAAAATTTGTGCCTCGAGTTTAGGGCATCCTTCCTTCAGCTGATCCCACGTGAACCCCTCGCTGCCAGGGGTGAGGACGGGGAGTGGTCCCTGCTGGGGGGCAGCTGGAGCATCTTCCAGGGCACATCTTGCCCTGCTCAGGGAAGCAGCATCCCCTGCTCCCCACCCCAAAGCTGGGGGGGTGTCACTGCTCTTCCCTCCCTGTGCTGGGCCCCTTTTGCCCCTTGAACCATTCCAGGGGCTCTGGGAATCGTGGGAGCAGCCTGTGATTCCACACTGAATCGGGGCAGATGGAGAGGGGCTTCCTAATCCCCCCCTTCCCCTGCCACCCCCCACATGGGGCAGGGCTGGGCTGCAACCTGCTGCTCCATCCCAGCAGGACCTCCTTCCCAAATTCCCTGCCAGCCCTCCCTGTGCCCACGGGCCAGGCTGGACCTGCCCACCCTCACCCTGGGGAGCTGTGGGAGATGGTGCCTGTCTGGAGTGGCTGGAGGCTCCAGAGGCTCCTCTGCCCCTGGGGGCAGTTTCAGAGCTCCAGGCCCTTCATGGTTGTGGGTGGGTGGGTGGGTGGAGGGCGCAACCCGATCCAAATGGGAAGCTGGCTGGAATCCCAGCGAGCTGTTCTGGCTGTGGGAGGCATCCTAGGAAGTGAGGTGGGCTTTGGGAACTCCCTCCCCACCCCCGGGCACCCACTGGAAGGACAAACTCCCTTTCTGGGAGTTGGGGCTCCTCCCCCCCTGCAGCTGCCCCGTGCTCGGAGCTTTTTCTGCCTCTCGCTCTCGTGTTTTAGACCAAAGTTTCCTCTCTGTGGTTTCTGTTCTCCCTCACTCCCTGCTCCCCTTTGGACTGGGCATTCCCACTTCCTGGACATCTCCAGACTGCTCAGGGTTTGCTTCCTTTGCCTTTGGAAGTGCTCAGCCCCTCTTTCCAAGCTGCTTCTCCCGCAGGGTCCGACCTCCTCAGTTCCTCTGTTGCACATCCAGAGGATCCCTCTGTGCCTGGATTCATCCTCTTTGTTGGATCCCCGCAGCAGGGGCTGATTTTAAAGCCTAAAAGCACCACCCCATCTGTCTTGTGCCTCAGGGGCACAATGAAGAGCCCTGTCCTGCCTCCTCAGAGCTGGAACCTTGTCCTTGCCCACCAGCCCTGGTGACAATGGACGGGTTTAATTCATTTTCCTGAGTGGGCTCCACTGAACTTTCAGATTCCCGCTTTTCCAGGTGAAACTCCTTCCTCTTCACCATCAGGTTTAGGGTTTGGAGAGGACATTTCTTGCCACGGGGTCGATCTGTGTGTGATTTGAGGTCGTGCAGGAGGCGCAGCTCCCCCTTGGCGTCCCCTCGGCTGGTGGCACTTGGGTGGCAAGGGAAGCTAAACCTGGCACTGCAGGGGCTTTTTCCAGCTTCCAGCACTTCGACTGGAGCCTGGGGAATGGACACCACGAGGTTGAACACTGGGACATCCCTCCCTGGTGGTAGCTGGGCAAAGGGCTGGGAGGCAAAACCGCCTTTCCGTGCCCTCTCCGGCGAGTCGGGATCGCTCTTCCCACTGCCCGGGGCATCCCTTTGGGAAGGAGCTGCCAGGGCTGCCTTTGTCCCTGCAGGCCCCTGTCTCCCAGTGACCTTCTCAGCCCGTGGAGACAGCTTGGCTTTGCTGCAAAGCAGCTCATGTGACAGGGGTAATCCGCAGCCGGTAAACAGCTGGGCGGGAGGATCCCGGGGAATCGCCCTATTTTTCCCTGCTCTGCGGAGCCAGGCCCGGAGCAGGAGGGCGGCTCCTGCTCCCTGGGAATGGCTGCTGTCGGTTTGGCTGCAGGGATCCACCCGCTGATGGCTTTGGAGCCTCAGGAGCCGGGGCAGGGGCACCACTCACTTCCACGAGGTGCTTCCATGGAGCTCCCAAACAGGTTCCAAGAATCACAAAAAGCCATTTTTCCTCGAGTACTTTCCCTCTGAATTTTTCCCTAAACCAGGTGTGGCATTTCTGAGCCTAAATTTGACTTTTTCTTCGCGCCCTCCATGTCTTTGGGCTTCATTTATTCCCTCACAGCTGTACAAATTCCTCTCTGGGTCACGCTCCCGGATATCCCACCCCTCCTGCTCCAGGGACACTCGATGGACATCCTCCCTTCCCATGGGAAGTTCAGCTGTGCCCTGGAGAGGACACAGGCTCCGAGAAGGGAATGGCTGAGGGAGCACTGCCTTGGAACTGGCTTTAAATTAACCATGGTGTTATTAATTATTATTCCCATACCTTACAGATCATGGAAAACTCTTCATGCCTGTGGGTTTTCCTCCTGGTTGCCACAGATCCCTGAACTCCCCCACGATTTTAACCTTCAGAGCCTCCCAGGGGAAGGTCAGTGAGGGGGTTTTGGTGCTGCCAACCCCAGGGGCTGATGACAGGTCAGAGCAGGCAGTGCCAGCCCCAGATCCAGGTCCCTGCACCCCACAGGAATGCTGTTTCCCTCATTTCCCTGCAGGAACGAGGTGCCTTTGATCAGGTGGGCAGAGGTTGCTCTGCAGCCACCTAATCCCGGGGTTTCTCTCCCAGGAACCCCCCAGCAGTGTGGCTGTGGCTGCAGTTGAGTTGTCCAACCACTGAGACAATCCCTCATTCCGTGCAACCCCGGCCTTCCAGAGGGACCATCTGTTATCCCTGTGCCTGGGACACATTTGGATGGGAGGCCTGGCGGTGAAAGGCTCTCTTGCTATTCCCCTGAGCCAGCTGATCTCTTCCCTTCCACCCCTTCCCATCAGGAAAGGGGAAAAAAAAACCCCAGCTTTGTTCTCCCAGGCATTAGGGGATTTAATTGGCGTGTGCACGGTGGGAGCGCCGCGTGTCACGGAGAACACGGAGCTAATGGAAGTGGAGCTTTATTGCTGGCAGAAATATGGGATGTGCAGCTCCTTTGAAGTCCCAGGGATCAGCAGCTCCTGGAGGGGGGGGTTGTGTTTGATCCCAGCCCTCAGGGAGTTTGGAAGTGGTCGTTTCCTGCTCCTCCGACCCCACGGATGCGCCGCTGCATCTCCTCGGGAGGTTCCTGGGGTGTTTTCCTTGCGGAAAAAAAAATGTCTGGGTTGCTCTTCCGAGTAGGAATGGAGTGTTGAGAGGTTTGGAGTGCTGTGGGAAGGTAACCAGGCTGGGATTTGGCCGGGTTTTAGGGTTTGTGTGTGTTCTCTGCTGTCAGAGATGGGCTCTGGCACTGCTGGAGCTGCGGTCGGAGCCGGAGCGTTCCCCCAGCCAGCAAGGGCAGCTCTGGCCTCAGGATGATCCTCTGCAGCCACCACAGCTCCTTCCCCTCTCAGGAAGCAATTCCAGCCCGTTCTGCCCTGCCCTGGGAAGCGACAGGAAAAGCTGCTGTTGCCTTTTGCAGCCCCTTGACTCTCCTCACGGATTTTATCCCACGTGGGTCCACAAATCTCCCCTCTGTGGGGTGAGACCCACGGGGACAGGACACCTGGAAAACCCCTGCTGAACCCCAGCATTCCAAACTGCCACCACAAAAATCAGGGCAAAGGAACTCATCCCTCTCCCTGCCCCATCCCGGCCTTCTCCTGGCATTCCAAGAGTCTTCCAACCGCCCGTCCCGCGTGGCTCAGGGATCTGTGCACAAATCCTGGGCCTTCAGCCACCAGCCCAGAGCCCAAACTTCTTCCTTTTTAGCAACATGTGCAGAGCTGAGAAGGGAGGAATCTGCCAGAGGCAGCAGCATTCCAGGAATGAGTGTTCCCAGGAGAGAGAGAGAGAGAGAGAGAGGTGGGAACCCATCCCCGCTGCCGGTGGGGTGAGCAAACAGGAGGAATGTGGAGTGTAAAAACCTGCTCTTTGCAGAGCCTGAGCCGTGTTTTCCCTGTGATTTATGGCTGAGGACGGGGCAGGTGCCAAACAGGTCCCTTGTCCCATAAAAGAGGGGCTGCAGACCCCAAAAAAAAGAGGAGGCCGCCGCTGCCTCAAGGGGTCTGTGTGGCAGGGATGCTTTTGGAGCTGGATTTGAGGGATGTGCTTCGAGGAGGAGGGAAAAAGGACCCTTGGGGGCCACATCCAGCCCTTTTTTCCCCTGTGGAATAAAGGGGACTTACCTCCTGGTGGCTGGAGCAGCACCCAGTCCGGCACACGCACCGGAGCCTGCAGGGAAAAGCTTGGAGAGCCTTCCCAAGGGATCCTCCAGCTCCAGGAGCTGTGCTGGGAATTCCTCACCTCTGGGTGGGTTAAGAATTCCCTGGAGGAGAGGCACCAGCGGGACACTGGGGGAAGAGAACCCGTCGGTGGGTGGCTGTGAATGTGCCCTGTGTTGTGGTTCCTGCGGAACCAGGCAGGAAAACGCTGGGAAAATGGGCTTTTAGCTGGAGCCAGGGCCTATCTGGTTACGGATTGCCTTCCTCCAGGACAATGCCTGCTTTATCTCCCCGTGCTGAGAGCTCTGCAGTGCCTGCTCATGTCCCTGTTCACATGGGATCCGTCGGCTCCGCACCAGATCCCGGCCCCCCCGGAGCCCTAAAATCCATGGAGCTCCTTCCAGGGCCTGGATTTCGGGAACTTTCCAGCCTTGTACACCTGAGATGCAGGGAAATCCCACCTTTGGCAGCTTTTCATTCAGTCTCTCATCCCTCTGCTCTGGGAATTACAAAGAGTTTTGTTGGAAGTGGCTGGAGCTGCTCCGGAGGGGGGGGATTTTTACTCCTCTCATTTCTGGGCCTCTCTGGGCCAATTAAGTAATTAATTTAAATATATCCAAAATGCAGCACAAATACCTTATTTTTACCTCCCACTTCCCCTCCTGTTTGCACACACAGTGTTCTGTGTGGAGCCAGGAATATTTCAGTTACTCTGCCTTATTTTGGGGTGTCACTCGTGTGTGAATTTTCCCCTCATATGTGAGGGGAATTTTGGAATTCCCCCAAAAGGGTGGGATTTCCTCTGAATACATTAATTACCCCCCTGCTGGGGGGTATTTTGCCCCTTTTCTCAGCCTTTTCCACGTTTTATTGTCAGGCATCCTAACAGCAGACTGCTCAGGTTGCAAGTGGAGCCTGGCAGAGTGTCCCTCAGGTGAGTGGATTTTTGTGGTGGCACTTTTGGAATGTTGGGGTTCAGCTGGTGGTGCCCACTTGTCACCCTCAGGTTCCTCACCTCGTGGTGCTTCTTGGGGCTAAAGGGGCTTTATCTACCTCATATATATATATATATATTTTTATCTATATTTTTGCTGTGCCTGGGCAGTGTTTGGGGTGGGATCCCAGCAGCCCTGGAGCAGAATCCCAGAGGATGCAGTGGGATGTCACAGCACAGGAGGGGAGGTGGATCCCAGGGCTCTTGTCTGTCATTCCCTGACCTTCTGCCACCTGAAGGCCGCCAACTTTTGGACCCCAGACACACCTTTTGTCCTTTGACATCCCTCTCTTATTCCCTTTCCACGCTTTTTGTAGTCTCCAGGGTGCCCAGAGTGTTGTTCCTGCAGGAGCTTCACTAAAATATGCGATATTTCAGTGCTTAATAACAATTAAATATCAATTAATTACAATAACAAAGCAATTAATTACAATTACAAAAGGCAATGATAATTTACCAAAAATTAAATTAATTCTTTATTTTCCAATGGGCTCCTGTCACCCAAGTGATGCAACACTCGGGCAGTCCCTGCCCTCCTTCCCCCCCTTTAATTAAACCACGTAGGAAATACAACAAGTGGTTTAAAAAGTGGGATGAGAATCAGCCTCAACAGGCAATTTTCCCCCTGGAAAATGGGGATGTAAAAGCAGGACAGGGAAGCTGGGATTTATGGAAAAGCACAGGATTTATGGAAAAGCAGGGGATTTATGGAAAAGGGATCCTTGTTAGGTGGTCGTTCAGAATCCCAGTCAGGTTTAACACTTGGTTTTTGAGAAGAGGAGCAAACTTAATTTATTCTCAGGTGTTCCTTATCCCTAATTCCTGAGGAGCTGGGCGTGGACAACCCCTGTCTGCTCCTGTAATGGTTTGAGAGCCCCAAAATCCAATTCCCCAGTCCAAGCCCCCAGTGTGAGAGGGGTTTTCCAGACACGAACACAAGACTCAATATGGGGGGAAAGGGAATTATATAACAAACACTGTACAAATAAATATTAGAATACATCATATGCAATCTTAACTATCTCTGCCGTGATAAATCAGTATTTACAATGGAATGGATCAATCTCTTCTCCCTCCAATAAAAAGTCCAGAAGGGAAAAGGAAAGATCCTTCCCACTCTCACACTGGGCTGAGATGTGGGAGGGGGGGCTTGGACTCGGGAATTGGATTTTGGGGCTCTCAAACCATTACAGCTCCATAAGTTTCACTGCCAGGGAACAGCTTGTGAGGGAAGCAGATCCTGGGGGGGGGTTATTTTTATTTTTATTTATTTTTATCCGCGTTTCCTGCGTGGAGGCTGGACCAGGACGGGCCCTTAATAATCCTCTCAGGTGTGCCCTGTGCTCCTGAGCAAAGCCAGCTCATCACGGGGGCTTAGGGGGGGTTATCCACTAAGCTTCCAGCCCTGGAGCCCGGGGACAAGCTCCCTCTGCACAGGTGGACACGTTCCTGGGGCCTTTCATGGAATCACAGAACCAGCCGGGGTGGAAAGGACCTCCGAGATCATCCAGCCCAACCCTTGATCCAACCCCGCCGTGGTTCCCAGCCCATGGCACTGATGCCACATCCAGTCTGTCCTTAAACACCTCCAGGGATGGAGAATCCACCCCCTCCCTGGGCAGCCCATTCCAGTGGCTGAGCACCCTCTCTGGAAAGAAATTCTTCCTGATATCCAACCTAAACCTCCCCTGGCACAGCTGAAGACCCTGAGCCCTCTTGTCTTGCTGATCATTTCCTAGGAAAAGAGACCAACCCCCCCCCGGCTCCCCCCTCCTGTCAGGGAGTTGCAGAGAGTGAGGAGGTCTCCCCTGAGCCTCCTCCTCTCCAGGCTGAGCCCCCCCAGCTCCCTCAGCCTCTCCTCACAGCACTTGTGCTCCAGTCCCTTCCCCAGCCTCGCTGCTCTTCTCTGCCCCTGCTCCAGCCCCTCCAGGGCCTTCCTGAGCTCAGGGCCCAGAGCTGGACACAGCACTCCAGGGGTGGCCTCACCAGCGCCCAGCCCAGGGC